TAAGATTTTATTAAAAAAATAAAGTTTAAAAAAATAAACGCAGGCAAATTTGCCTGTATTACAATTTAAGGGATAATATATAAGTTATAGATAAACTACTTAAATTAGATACCAAAAATATATATATAGCTAGATATATTCTTTAATATATAAATTTCTGTAAAGCATTAAACTGCGAGTTCCCAAACTTAATAATATTTGAATAAAGACCTTAGCTCCAAGGAGGCTAGTTAGTTAAAAAAAACTTCTTATAGTTATAATTACTTTTAACCAAAATTTTATAATACTGTATATAAAACAAAATATTCTTTTTATAATAGCAAAATTTTAATATATAAAATGCTTAAAAAAATTATATTTTTATATTGTAAATTTTGCCTTAATTAGTTCAAATTTGCCTCAGTTATACAAAATAATTAATTTTGATTAGTTGATATCATATAATCATTATACGTATGATTTTGTAATATCTAAAATTTAAATATTTATATCTTACTGAATATTAAACCAATTTTAATAATTTTACTTGTGTTAAAATTAGAAAAACCTGCTTTATAATTTTTATTTAACAGCCTAAATTAATTAGCTTAATCAATTTTTTTTTGTTAACTAATCTCTTTGAGACTAAGATTTTTTATTCAAGTATTAGGTAGAGAAGTGTATAATGGAGCCTCTTATTATATTAAAGAATACAACTAGCTAAATATGCAACTTTTGGTTGGCTATTTAAATAGTTTGTATATTAGTATTATATCATAGAAACTACTTTATTTACTATATTTATAATCCAACTAAGTAATTATCTATTTAAACTCTTTGTAATGCAATCTACTTATATCATCAATACATCTCTATTATATTTATTAGTTAAGAAATCTTATATGCTTTCTTTATTTTTTTAAACTAATTTATCTTCAAGATATTATTCCTAAAGCTTTTTATACTTACAATCTGACTAATCTAGATTTCAATAATTTATGCTGAGTTTGAAGACAAGTACTTGTGAACAGAAATTGTTATTATTATCTATTTTTGCTTTTGTAAAATTCATCCAAACCTTAACACCTACTGTACTATATAAACTATCTATTATTTCTTTAGTTTTTCTAAACTTTCAATTCAAATAGCCTAGAAGGACAATCTCTTCCTTGGTTACCTAACAGCCTGATTGATATGATGCTTTTGCTAAACATCTCAATCCTGTTTGATTTTCTGATTTCTTAGTTAATAATTCTTTATATAATACTGTCAAAAATCTGTACTACTTCTCTACTCAGGACTTGCTAAACAAACTTCTGTATGCTTAATTTCCTGAATTAACTAGGCTGCTTTACTCAGGTTTTGTGTAATTCATGCATTATACTAATATTTCACAGCCTCCCAATACAAGCTAATGTGACCAAGATTATAGATATTAACCCATTATACAGTCTGCTATAACATATTTTGTAAAATTTGAATTTCATTACCAGTAAAATTTGAACTCTTGTTCTGTCACTTGGGGGTATAACAACTTACCAACTTCATTAAGTTGCCACATCCTTGCTTAATAAATTTTGTAAAATTTTAAAAAGAAACAATAAATACTATGAGTTTAATATACTGTATACTGTAATTTACAATTTGTATCCCTATCTTTAAATTCGTTTATGTTAGGGTTAGTGTTTGAACTAAAGTTAAATATTAATAAAAATAGAGTAAAATTTCTTGAAATTTTTTTTTGTTAATGCACTCAAAGTTGTTTCTTAAGTGAATTTTTGAGATAAAGGCGATTTTCTCTAAACAAACGTTTGTTTTGAAATTTTTTGATCGCGTGACGTTATACCAAATCAAGATTAATTTTTTGTGTATCATCACGTGATCAAAAAATTTATTATAACTTTGTTGGCGATACTGGGGTAGTTAACAATAATCGAAAAGTCAAAGAAATCACCTTTTGAGCACTAACAAAAAAATAGAAAAGTTAGTAAATGTAGTCTCCATAGCAAATTTATGAGTGATTTATTTTTTACTTCGACTTTATATGTTACACACTGGTCTTGCAATCGGATTGGGTAAGAATCGCAGCAACGATGCCATTGCAAATTTACTAGTCATAATGACAAAATTTGTGCGGCAGCTAGAACACGAGATAGGCCCTTTTGGAGTTGTTATTAATTATGTTTGTACCGATGATAATTTGAGAATTTGTGATTTAACGATCAGAATCGGATACCATTCGAACGGTACAACGATTCTGATCACTGGTTTACGAAATATCTCTTTCTACCTCATATAAGTTTCTTTATAATTTTATAATTCAATAGACAGTAATTCTTTTGGAACAGTGCTCTGAAGTTACAGGTTGCATTAGGGCCAAATTCTATTAGCAAGTATCCTGCACAAAGGTATACATAAATTATCATGACAATCGATTTATTCTAAACTATTTATAAACTTGTACCACAAAAATTTATAAATACTAAAATAGCAGAAAAAAATTTTGCTTTTGATAAAAAACGCACTCACGCTCATATAAATGGTCAATAGAACTGATATAATGATTGAAAAACATGTTTGCAAATGGGGCAACTGTTCTGAAAAGTTCAATTCTGTGTCTTCACTTTGGGAACACGTAGAACGTCACGTTGATAATGCAGAACCAACATTGATACACTTAGTGAACGATGACGGTAACAAATTGTATTGATCGGGGTGATTATTACTTGCAATGTTTACAAGAGCCACATACATATTGTAATATATTAGACACGCCTCAAGCAAAGAATCCGGCATCTTCAACTCCGAGCACATTGGTCGAAAAGACTCGGGGATCTTTCCAAACATCTCTTCAAAACGCATCTTTTCAAAACGCATCTTTTCAAAACCCAAGTGTCCCGACAAACATAGACAATCATTCCACACAAATTACTAGCATCCAACAAAGTACAATATTTTCACAGCAAACATTAAGTAATACATATTTAATAAACCAAAACCAAGTTGCGTTCAACCCTCTTGGACTGCAACAAATAATCAGGCCAGGGCAAGGCGTAGCACAGGGCGTTCAGCCTGTAAATTTTGTACAACCAGTACAACAACCGCCGTACATTATGGCGGCAACAGGAACACCTCAAATTTTCATGAGACCCACACAAATTTATGCGTTGCAGCATTATCAACCAATTAATCTACAGGGTGTTAATGCACCTCAACCAACAACTATGCAACCGCTGCCACCTGGAACACGGCCAATTGCAATTGGAAACACATCTAATTCAATATCGACTACTGATGATAATACTTCAAGAGCTGGGAGACCAAATGCATCGATTAATCCAATTAATCGGGTTTCCGGTGGCGCTATCCGGCCTTCTCATCAATCTATTGCGCCGCAAATTACTAATCGTAATCCTCCAACAATTCAAAAAGATCCCCAATAAGGTATACAAATATTTACTATATATAATAGGCGGATATCTCACTTCTACTAATAATTGCTTTAACTTGATAAAGTCAGTTTAGGAATTGAGACCCTCAATTATCTTATGTTCGATACGTTATGGCTGTGATCAACCGATGATACATGTTTAATGTCACTGATAACAGTCCATTCAAATGAAATGACCGATCATGGCAAATTAATTAAACATCATAAGCAATACTTTATACTTTACTAAGTAAACCATACTTTATATTCAAATTTTATATAAAAACTTTGAATGATTTTGCGTTTTGGTCTTAAATTATTTAAACGAATCTCTTACTGTATATGCGACCCTTCAATAAAATAGACAAAAGGGAAAATTCAACAATTTGATTCTGTTTTTTGCATAATCAATCTCAAATAATATTAGACATTTTTACGTATACTTAAGACAAAAGCAGTTTTTTCTTAATAAAATTTTATAGTATAGGTTTTTAAATTTGTATTTTTTATTATTTATTATATATATATATAGCATAAAACCAGATTTTTACAAATATAATTAATTTTTTTTGGTATCTAAGTTTGTTATTTGCTTATAAAGTATATGGGGTGAAACAAAATTTTGTGTAAATAGTATGATCTACAAATAGTAACACAAAATTTTCAACTTAAAATTTATTTGTTATTATATAATTAACCTTAATAGCTTATAACAACCTTTTTTTATTGAATAAAAAAATTATTTGAAAAATTGGAAAAAAGGGCTTTTAATACGTAACATCCCATATAGATTATTTGCAAAAGTAGCACTTATTTGCGCGAGTAATACAAATTCTTATTTGATTTTTTTTTTTTTTTTTTAATATTAATGGTGAGGCATTCTTATTTGATTTTACCAATCATTTATGCAAAAATTACTATGTAAATTCTGGTGTCACGTGACCAGGCACAAAAACGTACGTACGTACGTTTTGTCAAAAATTGCCTATAGCTCATAAGAAACCACATTCTGTGCTCTAATAAAAATTTTTCTTGCGCAATTTTACTAATAGCTTAATCTCTAGCTCTAATACAAACGCTAACCCTAAAATAAACAAAATTTAAAGAATTTTTTAATTCTCCATAATACCCATAGTTATCTTATATATTTATTATAAATAAAAAAATGTTAAGTTCTATATAAAATTGATCTTGCAATATCATTGGCCAATATACAATTAGCAATACTTTTAAAACTATATATTTTAAAATAAATTATAAAAATTTAATATTTTAATTTTTATAATAGAACTTTAAATAAATCTAACCAGCTAGCTTTTTTAAATTTAATATATAATTTTTATTAAAAAATTTTTTAAAACCAGTTATTAAAATGAAAAATTTCAAAAATTTAACTCAGCAAAATTATAAAATCAATTTTATATAATCTTATAATTTATTTATCAAATTTTGTTAATATATAAATAAAAATTATACTATTTTATATAATAAAATAGTTACAAACAATATTCAATATAATACAATCATTAATGCGATCGTACTATTAAAGGAACTTCAAGTGGATTCTATGATAAATAAAAAATACAAATAGTAAAATAGATGATATATAATATATAACAGCTCGCAAAGAAGTTAATAAAAACATTTCAATTATGTATAAATTGTCATAATTATGTGTTAACTATATTAAACCTTCTGACAATAAAAATATCTACTTGTTATATAATTTGTAGGTTTCAAATAGAAATACATATTTATAACAACTTATACACAAAATTAAAATATTTGTTCCATCACTATCTTTGCTATGGCCTCATCGAAAAATATATATATTATTGCATACCTTTCCATTTTTAATTTCAGTTGCTGATGGAAATGCATCAAGCCTCAACTATATAATTTAAAACAAACCAGGTTAAGCATAGCTTCATGAATAAAAAAAAATAATATTTATTATTATATAACAAACCAGTTCAGAACTATGGGAAGCTAAAGGGTCTTTGGATATTGTTGCAACTGCCAGAATTTTATCATCCCCTATTTAAAGAAATAGTAATTATATAAGTAATATTTGAAAAAAAAAAATTCATCTTCGATACTTACGCGCATAATATGCTGCAAACTTAAATTCTTCCAGATTTCCTTTAATAATAACATCATCAAAACCAGCGGCATAACCAGCATAACGTATTCCCTTGCCAAGTTGATTACTCCAAAAGTATGGGATTTTTTTAAATGAAGGTGCCGATTTTTTAGCAATGATTTCAGCAACTGCACGACCAGTATTTTCGGCAAACGACTAAAAAATGAAGAGATATTAATTGCTTTCCTTTAAAGATGGTTATTGTTATTTGTTTTGCTTTTATTTGATTTTTTTTTATATAGTTATTCAACAATACCCAATGTTCAATGCGGATTGACTCTCCAGTCTTATGAAATGTGAATCTTGCGATATCACCTTTATAATCAGATTAGGTAAACAGAAGTTTGATATTTGATAAATTTTATTTAATATATATGAACCGTACTCTTACCAATTGCAAAAACATCATCAAGCCCTTCGACTTTGAAATTCTCATCGACTTTAAGACTACCATCTTTTTCTAGTGTAAACCCTGGTGAGTCTTTCAAGAATCCCTGCAACAAGAATTGAAAGAAATTAAAGCATAAAATAAATAATAGCTGAATAAAACATATTGTATTCTTACAGTTGCTGGAGCTACACCTGCTCCAATTACTATCACGTCAGCGGGAATCTTTCTGCCATCTGCTAATATCACTGCACCGCATTTTCCAGGATCAGTGCCTGAAAAAAATGGAACAATTTAGATACGATCAAAACGAGACGTATTAATGTTAAATATACTAACTCAAGGGTTCAATTTCCTTCACACCAGATTGCAGATAAAAGCTGACACCGCTTGCTTCATGCAACTTTTGAATTGCACCTCCAACCTCAAGGCCAAGTACTCTTTCAAAAGGGACCTAGGAGAAAAAGACGGCTATATGATATACCATGCTTTATGCTTTGAACAAGATGTACGTGCGGTAAATTATTCTGGAAAAAACCTTTTCCATGCCAATAACAGAAACTTTGACTTTTTTAGCGCACATAGCTGCAACTTCCATTCCAATAAAAGAAGATCCAATAATTGTGAGATTCTTGTTTTCTTCTTTTCCGATAGCTGTTATTTAAAATAAATAAGTTCAAGTTTCGTTACAAACACAGAATGAAAAAAGATTGACTAACCTTGCTCAATTTTTTCATAATCTTCGAATGTACGAAGATAAAACACGTTGTTGAGTCCAATTCCGGGAATTGGAATAGATCGTGGCTATAAAAACGAGATGGGAAATGAGAAACAAGCAGAAATTATACTATATATATATGTGTAATTAATTTTTAAACATTAAACGTTTGCTTAAGTGTCACAGCTGTTAAATAAACATATTTTCATTTTAAATAATCATCTATTTATTGCCAATGGCATTTAAGCAAGCTTAGTATTCATAAATCAATGATGCTCCTTATATGTATAATTGTTTAAGAAGAAAATTTACCGAAGCCCCAGTAGCAATAATTAAAGAGTCATACTTCAAATTTTCACCATTATCGAGGGTGACCACTTTGGAAGTGGTATCTACTTTAGTTACAGACTGTTACGATAATACAGATCAAACATTAATACCGAATAACTTTTAAAATTGGCCTGTTACAACATAATACAGACCGTTCCTAATTTAAACGTAATGAAAAGGCTATCATAAAAATCCTTATTTCGGATTTGTATTTTTTCAAGTTTCATGCCAAAAGCTTTACTAAGTTTTGGCCTATGGTACAGGAAAAGCAATATTAATAGTCATAAGATGAAATTCTAAGAAACATGAATAATACTTACCTATCAATGGGTAGATAAGGTTCACGGCTTATAATAACAATCTTTCCGTTATATCCATCCTAAATTTAATGGAAATACTAAGTAATGAAATTGTTTCCACATAACAACATGTACTGAAGTAGTAAATAAGTACTTCACGAAGTTTCTCTGCTGCAGCGTTTCCAGAAGCGCCACCACCGATAATTATTACGGTGCGGTCATTTAACGGAGGTACTCCAGAAGAACACTTTGGAGGTCTTCTGGAAATTTTAAAAGCTAATTATAACAGGATTCGCATATAATTCATCGTTAAAATTGAGTAATTAATTTAGTAATTTAATATGTGTGTTACTATCATACCATCTTCGTCAGCTTCAACGTAGATGTCATCACCTTTTATGGTAACCTGTGTTCGATTAACGATCACGTGGTAAAGGAATGGATTAACAGTCTTCGATTATTAAAACTGTATCGTAAGTACGTGCATATGTATGCTACCTTATATTTTTGAAGATTATCCAATCCAGGAGCATCCTCTAAAAATAGAAACAACGGTCAAACGCTGTTTATGATATAATAAAAATCAAAAATCAATCGTTACCTATATCACCGGTAGCAATATTGAAACAAGCGCCATGCCAAGGACTAAACAAATCATTGAGTTAATAAAGAATAAAACAAAAGACTAACTCAAAATGAATATCTCCTTGCCAAGTTATGCGACCATCGCTTGAAAGTACTCCTGAAGCAAGAGAAGCCTACAAAAACATAATTCATAATTTATCATTACAAGGAGAGATCGCATCCGTTTTTTTCATCCAATTGTTTAAATAGCTTACTCCATAATGAGTACATTTATGAGAAGTTGCGTGTATTTGCCCATTGACTTTTGATAAAAGAATTCTAATGTTTCCACCGACAGTAAATTCTTTCCTATTTATTAGAGTAAGGAAACAAGATAAGATAAATAGCAAGTCGGGGAAAACCATAAAAAGATGAATTAAAATCAGTATACATTTGATTGTCTCCGATATCAGAAACCTTTGCGACATTGTACTCAACCATTGTGTGGTAGTGTGCGAGTTTGAAAGTGCGAAGAAATGTCAAACGTATACTTGAGAAAAAAATCCGCGAATTAAAATTAATTGGGAAAAGAAAAACCATTCATTTAAATAAATTCAAATATAACCATATCAATTTTTATAACAGGATTTATAACCGAATTTTTTAAATGGCTTAGACTTGCGTGTAAAAACTGGTTTGCGGCGGTGTTATGTGCTATCGTATGTACGATAGCATCAAACTATATAGAAAAAAAAAACTCAGTAACTTAGGCGATACAAATTAATATAATTGATTTTCATATCCCGGCCGGGTCAGTGAAACGAGATTCAAAAATTTTTTTTT